ACGAAGAAGAAGTCAAAAAAGCCGCTCAAGAAGAAGAAGCAGCAGACAAAGAAAAAATGGGCGCAGCCCGAATCCCTACCAAAACTAATATGACGACACCTGAAAACAGTGACGGCGGCACCGCTGTCTCCCACACCACCTCCCCTCTTGTGCTTCTTCTTCTTGTTGCGTGTGCGGCTGCTGCTGCGGTGGTGGCCGCGTGAGAGTGAGTGAGAGAGAGCCGTGCACCGCCCGCACACACACTCGTCTTTCACTCTCTCTCTGTGTGTGTCCCCTTGCATGGACTCTCGCCCTCACCTCATTCCACGAAGCACACACATAATGTGCCCATTGTATATATGCATGCACACCCATGCAGGCCCGTTGGTGCTCTCTTTTGCACGACACGCACCGCTGCCGTCCTGCCTGGCTGCATGGGCGGAGCACCGTAACTGTTTCTGTTTTGTTTCTATTGCATTGAGTGGGCGACCTCTCTCTCTCCCTGTGTGTGTGTTTTGCTTTACGGGAGCAATGAGAGTGTGTGCGCTGGTCGTCCCACGCTTCGGCTTTTTGTTTTGTTTTTCATTGTTTTGTTGTTGAGAGCACCCATTCCGCGGGCTGCGTGTGTGTGTGTGATGATATGAGTGATTTGCGTGTGTGCTATCCACCTCTCCCTATCTTTGCTTTGTTGGGACTCTCTTGTGCCGCACAGCTGCTCTGCAAGTATACACGCTGCCAAACGCACTAGCAGATGCACACGCTATGTTGCGCACGCTGTGGGGCGGCGTGAACGCAGAGGACGCACGCACGTACACGATTGTTGCTGCGGCTGCCCTTGCGAGGAGGGATGACGGATGACCGCGATTGTTTTGTTGCCGTGCTGCGAGCGTGATTTCCTAGGAGTGCTGCCCATGGGCGGCGTGGCGTTTTGGTGTCTGGGATTATTGCGGATAAGCTTCAGCCCAGCAGCTGCACCGTCCGACGTGTTCCTCCCGCTGTTCGTACGCCGACGGAGGATTCTCCGGCTGTGCGGGGCGATGTGCGGGTGCGTTGGAAGAGACAAGAGTAAAACGACTGGCGGCAGCGCGTGTGTGCCGTGAAGGGCGGCTGTGGTTTTTTTATCCTGCTGGTTTTTCTTTTTGTGAGGGCGTTGTTCAGTGTGTGCTGACGCGTGACGAATAACGACGTGCCAGGCGTGGCTCCTGCTGCTGCTGGTGATGACCGTCGCTGTGTGTTCCCGCTGCATTGTTCTTCCTTCTCGTTTCATTTGTCTGTGTGCGTGAGTTGTTGTTGAGAGTGACTGCGGCAGGGACGATGATGATGATGCCACTCACTGTGGATGGGTGACGGTGTTCGCTGTTTCATTCCTTTTTCCTTAACTTCTCTCTCTCTTACTCACACACAAAGGAAAGAGGTTAATAACAAGCGCTAACCGCTACTGTGGAATTGGAAGGCACTGAAAGGACCAACAACAGCACACACACTGCCCACACACACATATTTGTATGCTCTCACGTGTTGCTGCAGTGAAGGCACCCCGCACACACAACCGTCGCCGCGTGACCGGATCCAGCGGAAGGAGGAGGGAAGGAAGAGAGAGTGAGCCGCAGAGGCCCAACATGTCCCGGCATCTCTTCTACTCTGCGATGCTGCTCCTCCTCCTCGTGTTGATGTGCTGCGGCAGTGGTGCTGCGGGAGTTGCGGGGCAGCCATCTGGTCCCCAGTTTGAATGGAGGGGCATCACTGATGGTGGAGGTGAAACTGTGGAGTCGTTGGGTGCTCCCAGCCTTCTAAAAGTGGGGAATGACGTATTTGCCGTTGCCGAGGCGCAGTGCAAAAAGAACGGTGAAAGCGACATTTTTACTGGCGTTGCATCTCAACCTCTCACGACAAAAACTGCAAACACACCGGAGGAAGTTCTGAAAAAACCCAAAGGTGAGACACGAGTACTGGAGGAAGATGCTTCCAAAGACCAAAAGAAGAAAGTAGATGTGAGCCGACCAACAACTGCTGTGAAGGGAAGTGATATTTACATGCTTGCTGGAGCCTACAGCAGTAAAGTTGCCACTCCTGGACAGGTTGGTGCGTCTGACGCGACTCAATTGGGACTTTTGCTGGTGAAAGGGAGCGTCAGTGGTGAGGATGCAAATAACAAAAAAATTGACTGGAAAGATACTGAAAGTTCCCCGCAAGGACTGTTTGGCACACAGCCCGATTCCTGGACAAGGCTGATTGGAAGCGGTGGATCGGGTGTTAAGATGCATGATGAGACTCTTGTATTTCCTGTGGAAGGCACGAAGAAGGCGGTGGAGGGCACTGAAGAGGATGGAAAGACTGTCTCACTGATCATACACTCCTCGGATAATACGAATTGGAAGCTGTCGAAGGGGATGTCTGACGGTGGCTGCAGCGATCCCTCCGTCGTGGAGTGGGAGGACGATAAACTCATGATGATGACTGCGTGTGATGGTGGCCGCCGCAGGGTGTACAAGTCCGGTGACAAGGGGGAGTCGTGGACGGAGGCACTCGGGACACTCTCGCGTGTGTGGGGCAACAACAAAAAGGGCGAAGAAGCGAAGACAGTTAGGAGCGGGTTCATCACAGCGACTGTTGGAAATGATGGTGATAAGAGGAATGTGATGCTCGTTACCCTGCCGGTTTATGCTGAGAAAGGAGGTAAGGAAAAGGGCAAACTTCATCTTTGGCTGACGGACAATACGCACATTGTTGATATTGGGCCGATATCCGGTGATGATGACAAGGACGTTGCCGCCAGTTCCCTGTTGTACAACAGTGGCGAGAACACTAATGAGAAGAAGGAGGATGAGTTGATTGCACTGTACGAGAAGAAGGACGGTGGGAAACCATCACCCGGTATGGTCTCTGTGCTTTTGACTGAGCAGCTGCAGTGTGTGAAGGATGTGCTGACGATCTGGAAGGAAGTGGACAAACGTGTCTCCCAGCTGTGCACCTCATTAATTGATGAGAAGGAGCGTGCCTCAACTGACGATGTCTGCAGCGCTGTTAAGATCACGGCTGGGCTGGTTGGCTTTTTGTCCGGCAACTTCTCTGATAAGACATGGAAGGACGAGTACCTCGGCGTGAACGCCACAGTAAATAATAAAGAAGGGGCGGTGCAGGTAGAAAATGGTGTGAAGTTCACTGGGCGTGGCGCAGGGGCGGAGTGGCCTGTTGGCAAGCAGGGGGAGAATCAGCTGTACCACTTTGCGAACTACAACTTCACTCTTGTGGCGACGGTGTCCATCGACAAAAAGCCGGAGGGAGACACCCCCATTCCGTTGATGGGTGTGCGTGCGGGCAGTAATGGCGATGAAAATAATGTACTGCTGGGACTGTCGTACGACAGCGAAAAGAAGTGGCAGGTACTGTGCTGTGACGGAAAAACCGAGGAGCTCAGCAGCACTTTGGGGACAGATAAGACGTACCAGGTGGCCATTATGCTACGGAATGGTACCCAGGGCTCCGTGTACGTCGATGGTCAGCGAGTGGGGAATGAAGAATGTGAATTGGGAAATGGTGAGTCGAAAGAGATCTCACACTTCTACATTGGAGGGGATGGAGTCAATGCAGCCAACAAAGAAGACGTGTCTGTGACTGTGACGAACGTCCTGCTGTACAACCGCCCGTTGGATGACACTGAGATCGCCGCCTTCAATCCGAATAAAGCTCCTATTGAAGTTCAGATGGACGGGTCTATTGAAGGAAACGCGATTGAGACTTCTCCTGGTGGTGGACGACCGGAGGAACAGAGACAGTCGTTGGAGGGCAGTCGTGCGGACGGTGTATCCGCACCAACGGTGTCCAGTGCCAGGACTTCCTCAGGAGGAGAGGGGTCTGCAACCCAGTTGGTGTCAGAAAAATCTTCCGATGGAAGTAAAAATGTGGGTGGCGCTTCCTCGCCTGGCAGTGACGCAGCGGTGGAGACAGGAGACCGAAGTACGGTGCAGGGAGATGGATCATCAGAAACTCTTGTGGGTACTCTCGCCACAGCAGATGCATATGCCCCTAACGCTGAAGCCATGGGGCACGATGGAACCGCAGTGAATCCTGGGGCGAGCGCGAGCTCAGGTGCGGATGGGGAGACGGCGGGAGGAACGAATGGGCAGGAGAAGGAGGAGATCCATGCACAGAACGGGGACGTAAAGGCTGCGGCCCTCAGCGGCAGTCTTGGGAATGTGTCGCAGGGGAATAACACCGATGCCTGCAGTGTGTGCGGGAGCGGACTGCTGCCACTTCTGCTTCTGCTGTTGGGACTGTGGGGGTTTGCGGCTCTGTGAGGAGTGACTGGCAGCCGCGTGGGAGAATTGCGCCCTCCCCTGCACAGAATTACTTCCAAGAAATGATATTTTCCTTAAGATAATTTTCTTTTTCTTTTGCTGTTCGTAATTTATATTTTTCTTTTTTTAAAAATTTTATTATTATTATTATTATTATTATTTTTCACTCCCCCATCCCATCTTTTTTGCTTTTGGGGCAATCACTATGGACGTTTTTTTCTTTTCTACTCTTCCCTCTTTTAATTGTTTCTTGCTGCACTCTTCCTGCGAGGGGTGCCGTGTGTTTCCCGCCCAACTGCTCCACTCGCACACCCACCGACACGCTCATGACGACGGCCCTGTGCGCCTCGCCTGATGCACGCATGAGGAGGGGCCGTGACGTGTGGGCGTGCGACGAGGGCCTGTGGGGCGGAGCACACATTTCTTTCCCTCTTGTTTTGTTTTATTGCGGCCAGGGCGGGCAGACACCCGCAGCGCCACACACACACAGCCACACCCTGCCGCCGTGTTTTTCTTTTGTTTTGTTTTTTGTCTGTGGATGTGTGTGTGTGCTGCCACCGCGCGTGAAGGGAGAGGAGGGAGGTATTTAGTGTTCACGCATTGTGGTTTCGGGCGTATGAAGGAATTCTTTTCTCCACTCCTTTTCAGCCTTAAAACGAAGCGAGATTTATTGCGCATACACATATACATAAGTAGAGGGTGAAGGCATATTTGTTGCTGCCCATGTTGGAACTGCCGCCAGTAGCGAGCCTGAAGGGCAAAAGCATCACAAGTGCCGAACAGTTCAGTCGTGCGGATATCTACGCGCTGATTCATCTTGCAAGTGCCATTCAGCGTAAGATTGATGCGGGTGAGGTGCTGAATCTCCTGCAGGGCCGCATCATGACGCCACTTTTTTTTGAGGATTCCTCTCGCACCTTCAGTTCCTTTTGTGCCGCGATGATTCGAATTGGTGGGAGCGTGGTGAACTTTAAGGTCGAGGCGTCATCCATCAACAAGGGCGAGACCCTCGCCGACACCATTCGCACACTGGACTCCTACAGCGACGTGCTGGTGATGCGGCATCCAAGGCAGGATGCGATTGAGGAGGCCCTTTCCGTGGCGCAGCATCCCATTCTGAATGCGGGCAATGGGGCTGGCGAACACCCAACGCAGGCGCTTCTGGACACGCTGACGATTTATTCGGAATTGGGCAGCGTAGACGGCATCACCATCGCGCTGATCGGAGACCTTAAGATGGGGCGAACGGTGCACTCTCTTCTGAAGCTTCTTGTACGCAACTTTTCGATTAAATGTGTGTTTCTTGTCGCCCCGGACGCACTGCAGATGCCGCAGGATGTGCTGGAACCCCTGCAACACGAGATCGCCACGAAGGGAGTGATAATTCACCGCACACACGCACTGACAGATGAGGTCATGCAAACGAGTGATGTGTTGTACACAACGCGTCTGCAGAAGGAACGGTTTATGGCTTCCACGAGCGATGATGCGGCGGCGTTGCAGTCATTTGCGGCGGCGAAAGCCGACATCACCATCGACGCGGCACGTATGAAGCTGGCGAAGAAAAAAATGATTGTTATGCACCCACTGCCACGCAATGACGAGTTAAGCACTACCGTTGATGCAGACCCACGTGCTGCCTACTTTAGGCAAATGCGGTACGGCATGTTTATGCGCATGGCCATTTTGTGGAGCGTTTTGGCGTGAAGGAGGTGGGGGAAATATGCGGAGGGGATGTGTGCAGTTTTGTACTGCGGGGGAGACGGTTTAACCAACGCCATGGATATTTGATGTTTGACTGTTTCTTCTTTTTTTTTTTATTATTATTATTGTTTCAAGAATAAAACAACAACAACAGCCAAATAGGAAAATAATAAAAAAAAAAAAAATGAAGAAAAATAAAAAGAATGAGAGTGTGTGTGATCGAGCGCAAAACGCAGCCGAAGGTTTAAACCACAACCACCCAAAACACATCTATGACAAAAATAAAACGAACGAAATGGGTGGGTCCGTTGACGGGCATAACAATGTGACCGCTTTAAATTAACCAATTGACATTTTTACAATTACACAGAAACAGTCACGGAAATATATGGTGGGGAACAAACAGCAACCACAATAAGGGCTTTCTTTGCTCATTAGTTGTTATTTTTTATTTTTTGTTTATCTGTTATTATTATTATTATTATTATTATTATATATGCGCGTGTGCTTGGGGGTGGGTGGTGAGAGATTTCGCCTCAAGGAGACATGTGTGAGTGGAGGGTGTGAGAGGATTCGTTGTAGTTTGGGACGGAGGATGAAAAGAAACGAGTGGCGTGGAACCGGGAGGTGGGGGATGACACTTAAATTCTGTTGCCGTGGCCTCTCTCTCTCTCTCTATCTTTTTTTTTGTTTTTTCTCCCACGGAGCGGCTGATTGAACTGCGGTGTTATCGTTGTTGTTGTTGTGGTGGTGGTGGTGTTTTTTTTTTTGTTGTTGTCTTTTGTTCCCCTTGTCAGGGTGTACGCTACGCAGAAGATGACGTGTCTGAAGCTCAACCTCCTCGACCATGTGTTCGCCAACCCCTTCATGAACGCCGCGGGTGTTCTCTGCAGCACCGAGGAAGACCTGCGCTGCATGACAGCCTCCTCCAGCGGCGCACTTGTGTCGAAGAGCTGCACGAGTGCACCTCGCGATGGTAACCCCGAGCCGCGTTACATGGCCGTTCCACTTGGAAGCATCAATTCTATGGGGCTGCCTAACCTGGGCTTTGATTTCTATTTGAAATACGCCAGCGATCTGCACGATTACAGCAAGAAACCGCTTTTTGTCTCCATTTCAGGTCTTTCCGTGGAGGAGAATGTGGCGATGGTGCGCCGCCTTGCCCCTGTGGCGCAGGAAAAAGGTGTATTGTTGGAGTTGAATCTTTCCTGCCCGAATGTGCCCGGCAAACCGCAGGTGGCCTATGACTTTGAGGCGATGCGCACTTACTTGCAGCAGGTGTCGTTGGCATATGGACTCCCCTTTGGCGTGAAGATGCCGCCGTACTTCGATATTGCACACTTTGATACGGCTGCTGCTGTCTTAAATGAGTTCCCACTTGTCAAGTTTGTGACGTGTGTGAATAGTGTCGGCAACGGCCTTGTTATTGATGCGGAGAGTGAGTCTGTTGTCATCAAACCCAAACAAGGGTTTGGTGGTCTTGGCGGCAAGTATATCCTCCCTACAGCATTAGCGAACGTGAATGCATTCTACCGCCGCTGCCCGGATAAGTTGGTCTTTGGCTGCGGCGGCGTTTACAGCGGCGAGGATGCCTTCTTGCATATACTTGCCGGTGCGTCGATGGTGCAAGTGGGAACTGCACTGCAGGAGGAGGGGCCCGGCATTTTTAGGCGTCTTGAAGATGAGTTGCTGGAGATCATGGCGCGGAAGGGGTACAAGACTCTGGAGGAGTTCCGTGGACGTGTCAAGACAATTGAGTGATTAATAGGAGCTTATGAAAAGAATGTTTGCGAGGAAAGCTGGCCACGTGAATTAATAATACATGTCCTGTTAAGACGAATCTATCTCTGTACGATTCACTTCTATTGTATATGGTTTCTTTGAGGGACCAAGATGGAAGGCATCCCGGGAACGGGTATTGGTAAGACAAAATATTTTCATGATGCTTTTTTATTTTATTTTTATTTCTTACTGTCCCATTCAGTCTTCATTTGATTTCCACCTTGCGGCGGGGCAGCGCCGATGGGCTGGAGGGGACCTCAAATTCGAGCAATTTGCAAGCGATCGATATGCCTCCACCCCGAATAGAGTGCACCGGGCCACGATGTTGGCCATCCGGAAGAAATATGTACACATATATAAATATATATATATATGGAGCAAACGGAGAGGAAGTGGCGGAGTCACTGTCTTTCCATTTACCCTCTTTCTTTCCCGTCCTATTTTATAGTGTAATATATAAGACCAATAGCTCAGGCGAATATTCGGTGCGGTGCTTTGTTGCGGTGTGTCTTTTATATTTTCTTTTTTTTTCTCACTGTGTTTATTTTTGGCCGGGAACGGCTGGGTTTCATTGCCAATGGTGGTGGCTTCCCGCTGACTGCACAGTCCCTTCTGAATTTCTTTCTCTTTTTTTCTCTTTTTTTTTTTTGCAGGCTCCCTGTTGGTTAGAAGAAGGATTTATTGGCAGACTTCATGCGTCGTTTTGTTCCCATTGTGAGCGGCGGCAGCAGCCTTTTGCTTCGTTTTGTTGCATCCGCCGCTGTCATGCGCAAAGTCCCGCTGGCAAAGTTGTCAGCGAAGTTAGGCACGCCTGTGACGAAGGAGGAGGTGTCGCAGGTGTTTAATGTTCCTGCTGCCATCCTCGAGCAGCTGCACAGGCCGGCGGAGATTCTTTTCACGGAGGTTGACCTCGCACGCGTGCGTTTCGCCCCGTTGATTGCCACGTTGGGCGCGGAGGAGGACGTCACAAAGATTGAGGCAGAAGTGAAAACGGCGAAGGCTACTGCTGCTGCTGCCGCGCGTACGCCTGTTGCCGGCGCAAAGGAGAAGTTTAAAAACACCGCGTGGAAAAGTGTCACGGAACTCGTGACGTTTTATGAGGAGGTTATGCTGCCCGCTCGCCTGGCGCACCAGGAGTACACCGTTTATGAGCTGAAGAGCTTTCATATCAAAGACGACCTGAAGCGTGGCCTCTCCGCCTTCAAGCAGGATCACCTTGACAAGCAGAAGGCGGAGCTTGCAAAGGTGCAGAAGCAAATGCAGGAGTGCCAGGAGTTCATTAAAGGTATTGGTAAGACTGCCTTTGATACCGCCATTTTCAATGACCTGGCGAATATTCTTCGTGTGTGCGGTGAATGCAATCCGTATGCCCACCGCCTGTCAATGCGGGTTCTGGAGGACATGAACCTTCTTGGAGTCCCTTTCAATGACGTGACAACGAAGCTGCTGCATGCCATCGTATTTAACGACGGTGCCCTCGATGACTCGGCGCTCATGTTTACCCTGGTGGAGTACCCTGAGCGTGGTGAGGTGAGTGTGAGCAGGGAGCCTGTGGATAGGATAGCGGATAGTGCGCTTAAGATTATCAGTGTGCGCCATCAGACGCCCTTGGACGACGGAGTGAAGCTGCGCCAGGGTGATACGCAGCCATGCCTGCAGCGCTCTGCGGAGTAAACGACAGGCGCACGCACACACTTATATGTAGTTTGTTTGTTTATGTATGTGTGAGTGAGATATGGAAAAAAGAAAATGAGGGACTATTCGTTTTTGCTTACGGCGTGTGAGCACTTTGACGGAGGACTGGTAGAAGGAAACGAAGGTGGCATTAGAAATAATGACACAAAATATTTTTTTTTTTACCTTGTTTACTGTTGTCCCATTCGAACTAGGCATGTCATTGCTGGCGGTGTTGGTGGAAATGGGACGTCGTGCAACATCCCAGAACGCGAGGGATCACAAAGAGCATGGGTTGATTCCGTTATTTCATTTTTTTTTTTTGCCCCCCTCTTTGTCCATTGCCCTCCTTAATCCCTACACACCGCAGGTATAGAGGAAGGTGTCTGTGGGGGGGACCCGAGAAGTTGAAATAGACAGAAGGGCAATTGAGTGCGTGTATTTGTGGTGGCGGAAGGGGAAGAGAGCATGGACTTTGTCTTCCCGGAGTTCGTACGTGCCTCCAACGACATTGCTCCGCCGGCCCCGCCTCAAAAGTCACTGTGGCAGTTGGTGGTGGAGTCCGGGCCCAATGACATCATTCCAGAGCGTGATGTGCCACGACGTGCGGCGGCCAACTATGCAAGGGACTATGGCAGTGGGATGGATGCGCACCACGGGATGAGCGGAATGGACGGTGATACAGCTGCAGCGGGCGTTACGGGCTTGAATGCCAGCACGAATCATGCCGCTGTTGGATTGACCTCGCGGACCTCATGGACTCCTGCACCGTACATGATTCAACATCTTATGTCCTCTGGGTTTGTGTCGCAGTTTGCAATGATGCATGGTGTTGAGTGCTCTGCACGGCTTCCTCCGCCTCCTTGCTTGCGGCTGCAGGACCTGCAGCTCCCGCCGCTTGTGCTATCACGTCTCCGACGACAGTTGTTTTTGCCACGTGGCAAGAAAGCGTTGAATTTGGATGGCCCTCAGGATACTTTGCGACCAAAACTGCGTGAGCTGCAGGAAATTGTCTTTGGCACTGAAGCCGTGCCATCGTCACGCGCTGGTACAGATGGGGGCGGCAGGGAAGAAGAGGAAAAAGATGGCCGTCAGGATGTTGACGGGGATGAGGATGACCCGCGAGAGGTGTTGGGGACGATGTCGGCTCTTCAGCAATTTGCAGTGACGTCCATGCTGCTGGGCCATCACACCCTCAGCGTCGGCCCGAGAGGTACGGGGAAAAAGACGGCTGCTCTGTTGGCCACAGGGGCGCTGACGCTGGCGCGGGGAATCCAGAGACAGGAGGAGAAGGAGATTGGTGGTGAGAAGAAGAATGAAACTAGCAATGATGGTGGAGCTGGCGATGAGGCGAAGGTAGAGATGAAGCACGAGCCCTCAGATGCGTACAAGTTGCATCCGGCTGCGCCACGAGCGATGATTTTGGTCAGTAGCTTCCATGAAGTTCAGTGGTGCAATCGGTGGCTGCAAGACGTCTTCACGGCAGGTGCGTTTATGCCCATGACGTTTCGTCGTGGAACGGCTGAACTCACGCCGTTGCCAGTTTTTTACGAGAGTTCGTGCGAGTGGGGAGGAAAATTGCCGCCGGAAAAAGAGGCACGACCTCCGCCGTCACCGCTACATCCACCAATACCACCACCAGTAGCATTACTGCCGCTGCCGCCTAGCGAAGAGGCCCATCATCGTCAGCATTTTTCAAATGAGGAGCGCCAGGAGGAGCGTTCATTGCACAAACGGGGGCGTGAGCACTCGCGCGGTCGCCATCACCACCATCGACACAGTCATTCGCCGGCTGCCAAGGAGAGGGCATGGAGCCGTCGTCGACGACATCGCAGCTCCTCGCGTCATTACTCTCGAGAACGAAGGCACCGTCGAGGCCGTAGTCACGACCGTCGCCGCGATAAGAAGAGGCGGGGCAGCAGGCGTCAGCACCGGCATCGCAGCGGCGACGTCAGCAGCAGTAGAAGCAGCAGACACGACAAGAAGAGGATTAGACGCGAAAGCGGTCGGTCCCGTCATCATCATCGCCACGACGACCGCCATGGTGAGGATTGGATGCAAGAATTATCGCATCGAAAATCCTCCGTCGAAAAAGGGGATTGTGTTTCTTTGGAGTGCGCAGCTGTGACAGCGGCACCTCCTCCTGCGGCAGCGCACGACACATCGATGGCGACAGGGCCCTGTGAGGAAATTCCACAATTCTTGCAGCAGCATGTACCGATTCTCATAGGGACTCACCAGTCTCTTGTTGAGGCACTGCAGATGGTACGGGGACAAGCGGAAATACTTCCATTGGAATGCGTTCGAATTGTATGCATCAGTGACGCAGACCGCATGGCGCAGCCAAATTCACAGATGGCTGTTCCCACGTCATGGTGGATTTCCCTCTCGAATGCTGTCGATGTGGAGTGCCAGTACATTGTGTCCGCCTCTCGGATGTACGATGAGGTCGATAGATGGCTACAGGAAACATTGCTCCAAGAGACCCCTGACGTGGTGAATCGCTACCGGCAACGCGACGACACGGTGTGGGATGGGGTGCAGCACATAATTGAGGAGGTGTTTGTGGATGAGGCCGAGGAATATGGCGCCCAACAAATGTTTGAGCGCGTGGAGGCGGCAAAAGTGCGTCGGCTTCTTCGAATTGTCAAGCAGCACTTTTGCTCGTCCCATGTCAACAGCGGGGGGCACTCGGAGGTGGCGGGCTCCCATCGTCATACGAATGGGTCCGCAGCGAGTAATTCCGAGACGCCCCTCACATCTTCGGTGGGTCGCATGGTCGTTGTGGTCTCGTCGCGAAAGGAACAGGAATCGGTGTTTCCGCAGCTACTGACCGGACTGCGGGAAACTGACGCACGTGTCCTCTGCACCTGCCAGCTGGGGGATTTCCAACGGGGCGAAGCTGACGTGCTAGTGACGTACGACTGGATGTTGTGCGTTGCCAGTGACGATGGCGGCATGAAGAACCGCCCTGTAGACGTTGTTGTCAACTTCGGCTTTCCGCGTGCGTTGATGGCGCCAGGGAAGGAGGAGAGCCTCCTGGAATGTCTCGTCATACGGACCCGCACGCTGCTCCACCACACCGCGGCCAGGGACACTGTGCATGAGAAGGACGTTGAAAGTTTTTTTTTTGAGAGGAGGGACGCGCCCGTCGTGAGGACGCAGCCGACCGTGTTGACACTTTTGACGGAGCGCCAAGTTCATGGACGGTTTGGGAGGCTTCTGACATCACGTGCCCAGGCGATGTTGTCCATGTGAGATGCCAGCGGATGTGTCACGACGAGGGCGACGAGGCACACTCACAGAGAGAGAGAGAGAGAGAGAGAGGGACAATTGCATACACGCAACGAAATAAAGAGAGGAGTGGCGGCAGCATTGTTTTTTACAGACAATTACTCGCAGTGAAATGCGTATTCTCGCCTCATGCGAGGCGATGAAGGCCGGTTTTCTTGAAACCTTTGGAATGAAGCATCGAGGGGTGTGCATTTTTGCGTCTCTGCGTTTAAACTCCACAGAGACGTCATAATTTTTTGTTTTGAGCGCAATTTGTTATGAATCTTTTTTTATGGGTGCCTTTTCCCTTTTTTTTTTTGTTTTGTATTTTTTTTTTTTTTTTTTTAATGTTCCTCTATCTGCATGACTGCTGTCCACCGTCTTTCTTCATGTATCCAAGGTAGACGGAGACACACGCAGTGACATTGGCGCAGGATATCGGGCTCCAGTTAACGTTCAGTGAATTGTGCATCACACGACACACGGCGTCGCACACACACACACACATGCTTTCGCGAGGTGTATTGCTTCGGTCGATCTCAGGACTGAAGCTTCCACCTTCTCTGCAGCGGTGGTTTCATTGGTACCCTCGCAGGGGAGGCGAGTTTCTTGGCGACATGCTTGCCGGTCACAACCTTTTTATTGCCGACATCCCACGCAAGTTTGATGCCCAGCACGCGCGTCACTTCTCCCTTGTGGAGTCACTCTGCATCACTCCCCTCTTTACGCTGACGATGGTTCACTACTTCTCTAGCTTTTTTCTCCACCCCAAACGATGGCAGATGATCCCGGTACTCATGACAGAACTTGCCCGCAAGACAGAGACGCAGCAGCAGTGGATGAGTGTCATGGAGAAGAAGTCTCCAACAGACGTGGTTGTGTGGCGTGCCTCAATGTCATTGATGCAGATTGTACTTTTCCCCGCCTGTCTGCTGCTCTCTTCCCTCACCCCGCAGATGATGCACGCCATGCTGGAGCGTACGAACCACATTGTACATCAGAAACTTGCATGCATCAACAAAGATGCTCCACCATTTGTGCAGAAGTACATGGATGAGGCCCGGGAGGCGGAGGCGTTTCACAGCCAACAGCTATGCATTACCACAGACTACCTTGCGGCTCTTCTCATTGTCTTGTTGGTGCTGTACCTGACGTCGTAAGCCGTTGCGGAAAACACTCTTGGCGTCTGAGAGCACATACTTTTTTTTTTTTTGTGTGTATGTGTCTCTCCTCTTCATTGTCTGACATTATGGTTTGTAGCAGGAGGAGCGAAGTTCAAAAGGAATCTTTCTCTCTTTCCTTATATATATATATTTTTTCTTAAATTGGATACATGCATGCATTCCTGTGAAAGTAAATGAATGTCTTTTCCTCAGTCTTTCCGCTTTCTTTCCGATCTTATTCTTTTTTCTTCTACTTTTTTTTTTTTTTGCATTTCTGTTTTTTATGCTTCTTTTTTTTCTTGATTCTTGACGCTGTGGCACGGGTAGCGTACGTGTTACTGTACTTGCTGTGTCTGCTGTTTTTTTTTTTGTTTTTGTGTGTGTGGACAGGGGCCAATCGATAGAACTGCACAAAAGAAGGAGAATAAATGAGAGGAGGAATCCACCGGCTGGATGGATCCACAGAAGAAGGAGAAGGAAGAAGAAAAAAGGAGGTGTCAATTGTATAATATTAACAGGGGGACGAAAGGAGTCTTCGTCGTGCACATCTCCCTCTTAGTGTATATTTTCCACATCACAGCAATGCGACTGCTGTTGTCTGTTCCACTTTCTGTGTGTGAGGCTCACGGCGCCGTTAAACGCCTTCTTCACTCAGATTTGTACAATACTTTTTTTACATGTGACCCCAAAGGGTCTCATCTCGGCTCCGGTGGGGGAACGAGTTGGCTGCTGGAGCGGTGCTATCAATCGGAACGAAACGACAGTATGACGACAGAAGACGACGACGACTTTGAGGGGTGGCTGTTGCGTGAGCAGCGCACCATAATTCATAGCGGTGGACAGAGCCGACGGCTGCCCTCATATGGACCGTGTGGGAAGCTGCTTCTGCCCGTTCCTGTCTTTCGCTGGTCGCGTGGGCAGACGTGTGATCAGACGCTCCTCGATTTGCAGATGCCGCTCTACGAAGAGGTGATGCGGCGGGCACCTTCTCATCTGCGTACACTTGTGTCTTGCGGCGATGTTCTTATTTTGCTCAACCAACCGCTTCCACCCGCGCCAGAAGACGCGGATGTGGTCTGCTACGCCGTTCGGGAGGAGGTGGACCGGTTGAGAAATCACGGTGTCTTCTTTTTGAGCCACGAGGCCCCCGATGAGTTGGATATGATGTTGCAGAAGCCGTCAATACGGGAGATTCACGAGTACACTGCCACCCGACGGTGCGTCATGGACATCGGCCTCTGGCTGTTGAGTGATCGTGCGGTGAGGGTTCTTCGCACGCGGAGCATGGCGGGGAATCGCACGAAATGCTC